CCGTATATGGGTCGCTGAAGTCCTGATTTGAATGTACGAAATTAAAAAAAATAACGATTCTTTAGAAACGTTCGGGATACTAAAAGGGAAATCTTTAGAATAAAGGGATCATCAGGGAAAAATTATTATGAGGGCAAATTGGTAGATTGGTAGAGGCCTAGACTGGTGATTTCTCCTGCGCAACTTGTACCTATTCCTGCCGGTGGGTCTACATCCAGCATCAGAGATGGAAGGACTACTGAAGAAGTTTGCCGCCACCCGTGTTAGCGAAACGTTAGGAAGCAACTTCAACGTAGGATGGCCTTTAGACCTGTATCGGGACGGCTCCAGTTATTTGTGAAAGATTCAAAGTTTACCGTAAAAAGTTGCTGCTATCAATTGTTTTGTCAGTAGTTTAAACAAAAAAAAAAAAAGTTGAATGTTTGTACGCGATTTTTTCTTGTTAGTTGTGATCGAGCCCGAAGCCGTAAGCGCCACATTCGTCCGCTAGGTGGCTTCGGAGATAGAACCGTCAGAAGAAGAAGGGGAATCATGCATATAGATTAGCTGCTTTGCCGGAGATTCTGCTTTTGCTACGTTTCTCTCTTCTTCTCTTCACCACCACTTACTCTACCTACTGCTCTCGATATAATAGATGCTGTATTAGAGAGATGCTAGGAACCGTCGTCTCTATAGTACTTAGTCATCAGCGGGTCTCTTTATTTTGTTTTTCTTTTTTTGTTTTCGTTCTTCGCTTTTTCACTTGTTTATTTTGTTTATTAATCTGGCTATCCATTAATCTGGTAATATGCTTGAAAGCAGTCGTTGTCTTATCAGCTCGAAGAATGGGATTTTTCAACCCCCTTTTACCTGTGACATTATTTCGTTAAATCTTCTCAAGAATTTCTGCCATAGTCAATACTTCTTCAACTGTTTTACGTAAAATTGTTTCCTTCAACTTTTTTCGTTCTTCACTTTTTCAGTTGTCTGTTTTATTTTTTGATCTAGCTATTCATTAATAATGATCGAAGCTAGTCATTATTACACCAGACCGATAAAAACTGAGGATTGTTTTTGGTACTTAACATTTTCAACCCCTTTTTGCCTTTAACATTATTTTGTTAAGTATTCTAAAAAATTTCTCATACCGAACACTACTTTTCGAAAGAGTACACTAACCCTTCCAAATTCTCCACCATTTCCCCTTTTCCCAATTTTTTCCCCGAATGTCCCCGGGCGGTCAATCGTTAGGTAATCGAAACAGAAGAATCGCGTTTCCATCTCCTTTCTTTGCCTTTCAATTAAATCAACTAAATCCTTCTCTGACAATCGTCGTCCAGCTCAGCTTTCCATGTCCTTCCGGCTGGCGCACGTTACAGGATAACACGTGGCGACACACAGAGAGAGCGAGTAAACAAAAGTCGAACGACCATGGCAACGACGGTTGACAAAAGCTGTCGAAATTGAAGAAGCCACCTAAATATTTAAACAGTGCGCGATCTCTGTTTGCGTAGACCCTTCAGGATACCATTTGGGGAAGTACCTATGTATAAATCATGTATTCGAGAGAGTGAGTGTAATACGCGTGATTTCAACTTGTTTTGATTGTTGGCGTTTAAGTTATTCAATTCAATGGCAAAGGGATTTGAAACACTTCAACGATTTCTTTTAATAAATTTGTGATTCAAGTCTTTCTGCCATCATAAACATCCGAAAACATAATAAACAAATGAACAACAAGTATCTAAACAAAACACACGTGTGCTGAATTTTTGTTTCATACCGACCATTGTTTCTTTCGTTTGTCAAATATCGTACGTCGATTTTTTGAGGCAAAATTCCAACTTATGCGTATGCCGATTACGGCCATCAGGTATAACCCCCAAATGCGTGTTTATTCCTGTTCAGTTCAATCCAATTTTTTTCCCACGTGGTGTTATTATCGTCTCACACCCCTTCGCAAAAGAGCAACCGTCAAACCAAGAGACAATAGGATTTAATTTCCACATGACTGAATCTTACTAAATCACAGTGCGATAACACCTAGCGTATTTCTGATCCAGATTCTACCCCCAAACCGAACCACCCAACGTTTCGGCAGCTTCTCGTCCCTCCTGCTGTGCGTGTTTGCGGTTGATGCGCTATCCATTTTATGGTTAACTTGGTTCTTTTATTATGCGGTTTCTAAGCTGGACGCGGATATGGTTTGGTATTATTAGGGACGAAGGTACAAGGTAGAAGGTGGTGTAGGGTGCTTTGTTGAGTCCCTGTACCTGTATCTGTGTCTTTGTATGTGCGTGTGTACATAATATAAACAAACGTATGTACACATGGGTAAGTATAGTGAGATTTAATAATGTCAATCCTAATAATGCGAAAAATAGACACCTATTGGATGTAAGGGTAGCAGAGGGACAATACATTGACAGGTGGTTGCAGTATTTGTCGTGCGTGAGGATGTTGTGCAGACCAGTGGATATTTACTTCTTTTTTTTATAAATTTCTACCATCATCATCATCATCATAGGGTCGTCAGTCCTAAGACTGATTGGACACGCACCTTCACTCTTTCCTATTCTGAGCTAATCTTCGCATATCCTCAGAACTAGAACAACCCATATCCTTAACTATGTATATGTGAATATTTCCATACCATGAATTCAAATTTGATACCAAACTGATAAATTAATTTTTGCAGAATCCCTTCGCCAAAAAAAAAGAACCCAAAAATGCTTAGTAACTCTGCCCACCAACGGAATAATGTTACCGTAAACATTCTTGAAGTTGGCGTTGTGTAGAGATGCGGTATGGGATTAGGGTAAAGTTCGATGTTGTTCTTCGTAATCCTGACATGATCCTTAGGTAGTCTCCCGATCCGACTGTCAAACGTCCGTTTCGACTACGGTGTTTATATGGGTTCGACCAAGTGGTAAAATTTGTTTGACACCTAGCACAATACCGCCGGTAGGATTAGCTCCAGGACCACACCGTGCGATTTTCTGCAGAATCGGCGGAAATCTCCTTACGTAGGTATCTAGGTATTTTATTCTATTCAATAAATCGATAGATTTCTACTTTTACCAGTCGTAATCGATAAGTTTTTGAACGAGAACAAAACGTAGAAAGATGAAATACAACCTCAAAAAAAACAATTTTCTAAAAACATTAAACCTACCGAAAAGCTTTTCTCAAAACTGAACCGAAATCAGAATACGTTTTAAATGATTGTTTTAATACATATCGTCTCTTGCTGGGCAGCGTCAGATGTTTTATAATTTCAATTTTCCATTGTTGGGGTTCTGGGAGTGCTTTATCATTTGTTTTTCCAATTGCAAGATATTTTCAAATGTTTATTTCAATATGTTGGATTTTGTCAGCTGTTTTCTTTTCTCTGTTGTTTCTTCGAGTGTTTTTGTCGTATTGTTTAGATTTCAAATGTTATGGTCTTACGTTTCGTCAGAGTAGCTGATCATTAATTCTGCCAAGAATTTATTTATTCGTTTAATTTAAAATAAATTATTGTTGTTGAGACGTGGATTTTTCGATTTCTCCTTCTCGAAAAACAAAAAAAGAAGTGGCAGTCAATAAACCAACAATTTGCAGTGAGTTCACGTGTAATCTGAGTACCATGAGGTGTTGTTTGTTGTATGTTCGAGATGAAGAAGTCTTTTGCTATTGGTCGGTTATATGTCTCCTCCTATACTAACGTGTCGGCCTACAGGCTCCTGACTTGTAAGAAGAATGGCTAAGAAGTCTTGCTTTAGTTACTGTTGCCAGAGACAAACAAAATTTCTTCTTTTTTTTTTTGTTTCTTTCGTTTTTTACGAAAAATAAACAGATGAAGTTTTTCAGAAACAAAAGAAAACATCAACAAAAGCATTGCACGGGCATCGTCTGTCAACTTTTTTGTTGTTTAAAGAAGAACGTCACCCTTACAAATTATGATAAGAAATAGTCACCCTGTATACTCTCTGGTACTTAACATCACACGATTTTTGGTCATTATTCTTTATATCGAAGTATTAGATAAATATATCTATATTTATTTCTCTTTGCCCACGTCTTCAATATTAAACGTCAGCGTTATCGCCAAGCGAGGGTGACGTCTCAGGAAAACGATAACGGCGGACGTCGTCGATTGCAACTTTTTTATCTTCATTACATAACATTGGACACGTGTTCGAGATCCCACTACAAACGATAATGTCCGTCATAAAACCGAACAATATTACGATAGATAATGCACGACATCACACCCCGCTACTGACCTGTCTCCCTTCGTCTGTTTCAACCCCCAAAGTCGAACAAAAAACAGTCGTATCTATCCATAAAAAAAACGCATTATCTAATACTCTTTACAAATCACAAGAAAATATGAAGAAGAAGAACGGACGAATGCCAGAAACGTCGTCGTGAAGACTTTTGTCAGAGTGATTATTATTTACTTATAAGTTACGCGTATAGGTACATATATATATATATATGCATGTGTGGCGTACATAAAGGTGTTTTTGTTGTGTGTGTTTGATATCCGCAGTGCGCAGAGTTCGTTTGCGCCCCGACGATTCCCCAGACGCCTCTTGGCCTTATGCCGACGCTCGGCGTCGCACAGATTGTGCACAATGATGTTTCAACGCATACATAGCGTCGTCGAGAAGCTACCGCTGGGAATTAACCGATAACATATACATATTATGTAACTAACATCCGTACATTAGGTACAACACAAACAACATATTATTTTCGACATACTTAACGAGAATTGAACACAAACAAAAGAAGATCATGTTATACATATATACCTACTTATTAGTAGGCACGCATTACATATATATAGACTAGTGGCGAAAGTTCAGAACTGAATTTCTTTTCCGTGCAATTATCTCCCTTGTAAAATAGGACGTGAAATACAAAAACATAAAAAACAAATGCCGACGACAGAAGACGACCTATCAGTTGAAAACAATTGCACGATAATACATACTAACAAACTAATGGTTACCTAGGTTTGTCTAACATACCTGGGTTCTTCATCGAAATCCCAGATTTTGTCCCGTTTTGTCGCTTCTTGCTACACGCCGAGACTCCGCGGTGAGACTGTCCTAACCATTTAGTATGCCGATAGTAGCAATCCGATAAAACATTTGCAGCACACATTAGACTGAGCCATGAGCTGAAAACAATTGCACGATAATACGTGCAAACAAACGAAAACTACAAGCAAATGCTTACCTAGCTTTGTCTAACGTAGCTGGGATCTCTATCGAAATCCCAGAATTTGTCTCGTTTTGTCGCCTCCTACGACACGCCGAGACTCAGCGGTGAGACTATTCGTACCCCGGTCTCACACGGGAAAAACATGTGAATATCTAAAAACAGAAAATAAATATTCGATACTATCGTATTATTATGCTACATTTTAGTTGTTGCGATGGTAGGAATTTTAATATCTAAATCAATGAGCTATATAAATTTTTAATTTTGTTTATTGTTTTGTTTTGAATGTTGATTCTAATAGCATATTGGGTCAAGAAGACAATTTTTTAATAAGAGATGTTCCTATATAATTACACTGTTAACTTACAGAACTACCCCATTCCCTTGTGGATTTAAAAACGAATTTACCCAAAAATTCTTTAATAACCTTAATAATAAAACAATTAATAATTACAATTATTAATATAAATTCACGTTTTTTTCCTTTTTCTTATTTGTAATTGGCAGATATACGATTCTATATAGATATGTTTTGTATAAACATGTTTCTTGTTCTGAAGGTTTTCAATTAAAATTTCTTACGTCGCTGTTATTCGTATTTCGAAAACCTAAAAAAAGAAAACAGTAGGCAGATGTATTAGATAGATGCACACAATTTTGTGTGTGTCATCGTGAAGGTGTTGTCATCACAATAGCCGAAATGTGTCGGATTTTCTCACATAATTTCGGTCTACCGAGGATGAATGATACGTAACTTCTTCTTGTTTTACGCATTCACCTCTTGGGAGGCCGTGACTGTCCAACTGTGTCCACAGACAGTCTTCAGAGGCGCAACAAAAGAACGACAAGAAATATGCATCAATAACGAATCTCTGCTGTCTTGTCATTTGTTTCAACAAGAAACAACAGAAAAAACAAAATCTACATATACTGAACCTATTATCTTACTTATATTTTCGGAAAATTTAAAACGATTACCGTCAATTGTTTGATTTTAATGCGACAGGTGAATCTCAATCATAATAAACAAACATGCAATTTCGTTTTATTACAGATAGGTAGGTACATATACGTAAATGCAGTTGATAGTTTTTGTTTTTTAGTTTATTGAAATAAATGAATGTGAGAATTTATTTGTTTTATAGCGGCGCCACTGGCGATTTTTCGTCATTTTCCCCGTTTTCTGTTACGTCGATGGCACGTTGGCGTTCACACGCTCGGTCTGCCAATCAAGAGTTAAAATTGACAAGCGTATCGTGACGATATGTTGTTGGTGCGAAGGCGAAAAAAAAAACAAACAGAAAAAAGCGTCAGCGTAAAACATGCCCGAATTTCGAACCGATAGAGACCCCACATTCGGTCCTAAATAGATTTTTCCGAAAAAGTGCTCGACACGCTCTGTGAATCGCAGGCCTTGTTAAGATTTTGTTTTGAAATACACGGCAATAGTTAAGATTTTGTTTTCAGACACAGTCAGTTGTTGTGGTTTTGCTTTAAAACGTAGGCAGCCACACGATCCAAAACATAATCAATCGTTCAGATTTTGTTTAAAAAAAAAGAGACATTCGTTATGATTTTGTTTTAAAACAACGAATCATTAAGATTTTGTTTTAAAACGTAGCTAAACCGTTTACGATTTTGTTTTAAAACGCAACTGCCTACGATTTACACTACCACGAATACGATGTAGGAAAGGTAATTTTACTTTTTCTCAGGGTGTTTTTCCCAATACGTTCCTGCAATAATTTCGCCGCATCAGGTCCTGTCAGTCGCAGGTCCTTGCCTGTTCGTGAAACTTTGTACGACGGCTACGACGACGCCGACGACAGTGGCGCTGACGCGTTTCCTTTCGCTACCCTTCGCCTCTACGTCCATCTAGTCGTCTGGCCCACGTCATCTATGTTCACATGCATGTCTACGTTTAGCACGTGCGTGTTTGGGGGCGCACGCGGCCCACTAGATTAGGACGTTAGTTACGCATTTCTATCCCAAAATTATTAAATCGGGTGCGGCGATATCCGCCACCGAAAAGTTTTCCTTTTTTTCTTCTTCTACCCCCAATAGATACCCAGACATACATAGTTAAGAAAACTACCCTTAGAAAAACGTTTCAATTTTTGTTTCCCTTATATTTTTAAGCCGTCGATGGCCGGAGCCTCCAGAGAGAGTTCGAGTTACAAATCGTAACATAACCCAATTTATTCCGGCATGAATGAAGCACTTAATTTGCAGTTAAAAAGGGCCCCAGTGTGTGTCAAAAATTAACCTCAATGCGTGTAATGTATGTAGGCACGTGATGGAGGGAGAATCGGGGACCAAATTGTGCTGTCGCCGTTGCTGCTGCTGCAGCCTGTGATGTTGCAACCCCCTCCCTGTTACACGCGCACACCCCGTTGACGTGTGCTAGAGATTAGGAAAACAAAAGACGTATCTCGATCAGTGCAAAACACACACACACACACACTAATGTATATATGCATGCAAGACGCAAAGGGTGTTCAATTTTTTCAGAGACGTGTATTCTTTCAAACAAAGGCGATTTTCAACTTTTTAGATATAAAACAAATGAATCAATATCCAATTCCACGAGAACGAAATGAGAAAGCAAGTCTAACTAAGAACAAGACTGTCCCAGTCTAGTCTTAGTCTTGATCTTACATTTTTGGACTAGTCAAAAACCAAGACAATAATAGTCATGTGGTGTTATTCTTCTTCATTAGTAATATGTACGTAAACGCCCTGTACACATGTAGTGAGTACATAATATACAGAGTGCTGTCTTCACCCTTACGTATCTATCTATCTAATAAGGGGGTGGTGTAATTATTGTTAACATAATTGGTCGCTCTGCAATAATTTTTTTTCTCCGCCTGGGCCAGCCAGTCACTTTTATGATAAATTATCACGGGGTTCAATTTGCCCTGTGTGCGTCGTGGGGCTTTTAATAAGGGCATGCGGTCATGTCACAACCACTCATCGCAGTAAGTACCGTTTTTGGCCGCTAGTAGATTTATAATCCCTCGATGACTACACCGATTTTCCTTTACATCGCATCATTACCTTGTGCGATACCAGGGAAGGAACTAACAATGAGCTTGTTATCCTTTTTTTTAACCTTTTTTGTTATTCTTCGTTACAGGGGTATATATTAGTTATTAGATAATTGCGTTTGTATTTTTGTTGTTTAGTTATTTAGAGGACTTTTGTATAGTTATAGCATTTTACCTTCTCCATTGTTGAGTTTCTTCAAATGTTTCATAACGACTTTCTTCTATTGATAGGTTGCTTCAAACATTTTATATTTTGTTTCGATTTTGTCAACTGTTTTATAATTGCTTGTTATTTTTTACAGATAGTCATTATTTTGTTCAAAGTTGGCATTTGTTTGGTGTTTTGTTTATTTCTTTGTTATTTTTTGTTTTAGTTTCTTACTCTGTACCATTGTAAGGTAATGTATAATATTAGGAACGATATCCTCGAAATTGTTTTGCCTTAGTTTGCTTCGCAACCAGAAAGTTGCTAATACATTTCGTAAAACTCATTTGCCAAATAAGCAAAAAGTTACGCTTTCACGAAATTATAATCCATTGTACCTATTGTACTTATACGGCGTCTACCAGAATTCTAGTACTGCTAGAAGTATAATCCTCGGAGTCTTTTCTTCTTTTTTTTTATTTTCGAAAAGAAATTGCGTACGTACGGTTTACCTCTTTTTAATAATGCAGGTTAATTATCGCGTAAAATTTTCGATTTGCCCAGTTCAAGAACGAACGGTTTCTCCTATTGTTATCAAAAGAAGAAATTTCTTCGAAAATATGAGAATAATCCAACAGTTTCAGTTTTTCAGTTGCAACGAACATTTTCATGCCATGAATTCAAAATTGATACCAAGATGACAAATTTATTTTTGCAGAACCCCTTGCCAAAAAAAGAACCCTTAAATGCTTAGTAACTCTGTCTACCAACGGCATAATGTTACTGTAAAAATTCTTGAAGTTGACGTTGTGTAGAGATGCGGTATGGGATTAGGGTAAAGTTCGATGTTGTTCTTCGTAATCCTGACATGATCCTTAGGTAGTCTCCCGATCCGACTGTCAAACGTCCGTTTCGACTACGGTGTTTATATGGGTTCGGCCAAGTGGTAAAATTTGTTTGACACCAAGCACAATACCGGTAGGATTAGCTAAAAGATCGCACCGTGCGATTCAGTTCAATCTAATCTAGGTTTACCTCTACTCCTCTTAACTCCCGTTTCTGTCTATAATGTCTTTGACAGACCTTCATGCCTATCTCGTCTATTTTTTATTGACTTCCACAGACTCCTCTGTTCTCTTATTCTTTCCATTATCCCTTCATTTCTAACTTTCTCTATCCAAGATATTCTCATCATTCGTCTGTAACACAACATTTCGAAAGCTTCTAATCTTTTGTTTTTAGCCGGGTCCACCGTCCATGTTTCGCATCCGTACAGGGCCGCGCTTCCAACATACACCTTTAACAATCTTTTTTTGTTTTACTTTTATTTATNGCAGTGAGTTCACGTGTAATCTGAGTACCATGAGGTGTTGTTTGTTGTATGTTCGAGATGAAGAAGTCTTTTGCTATTGGTCGGTTATATGTCTCCTCCTATACTAACGTGTCGGCCTACAGGCTCCTGACTTGTAAGAAGAATGGCTAAGAAGTCTTGCTTTAGTTACTGTTGCCAGAGACAAACAAAATTTCTTCTTTTTTTTTTTGTTTCTTTCGTTTTTTACGAAAAATAAACAGATGAAGTTTTTCAGAAACAAAAGAAAACATCAACAAAAGCATTGCACGGGCATCGTCTGTCAACTTTTTTGTTGTTTAAAGAAGAACGTCACCCTTACAAATTATGATAAGAAATAGTCACCCTGTATACTCTCTGGTACTTAACATCACACGATTTTTGGTCATTATTCTTTATATCGAAGTATTAGATAAATATATCTATATTTATTTCTCTTTGCCCACGTCTTCAATATTAAACGTCAGCGTTATCGCCAAGCGAGGGTGACGTCTCAGGAAAACGATAACGGCGGACGTCGTCGATTGCAACTTTTTTATCTTCATTACATAACATTGGACACGTGTTCGAGATCCCACTACAAACGATAATGTCCGTCATAAAACCGAACAATATTACGATAGATAATGCACGACATCACACCCCGCTACTGACCTGTCTCCCTTCGTCTGTTTCAACCCCCAAAGTCGAACAAAAAACAGTCGTATCTATCCATAAAAAAAACGCATTATCTAATACTCTTTACAAATCACAAGAAAATATGAAGAAGAAGAACGGACGAATGCCAGAAACGTCGTCGTGAAGACTTTTGTCAGAGTGATTATTATTTACTTATAAGTTACGCGTATAGGTACATATATATATATATATGCATGTGTGGCGTACATAAAGGTGTTTTTGTTGTGTGTGTTTGATATCCGCAGTGCGCAGAGTTCGTTTGCGCCCCGACGATTCCCCAGACGCCTCTTGGCCTTATGCCGACGCTCGGCGTCGCACAGATTGTGCACAATGATGTTTCAACGCATACATAGCGTCGTCGAGAAGCTACCGCTGGGAATTAACCGATAACATATACATATTATGTAACTAACATCCGTACATTAGGTACAACACAAACAACATATTATTTTCGACATACTTAACGAGAATTGAACACAAACAAAAGAAGATCATGTTATACATATATACCTACTTATTAGTAGGCACGCATTACATATATATAGACTAGTGGCGAAAGTTCAGAACTGAATTTCTTTTCCGTGCAATTATCTCCCTTGTAAAATAGGACGTGAAATACAAAAACATAAAAAACAAATGCCGACGACAGAAGACGACCTATCAGTTGAAAACAATTGCACGATAATACATACTAACAAACTAATGGTTACCTAGGTTTGTCTAACATACCTGGGTTCTTCATCGAAATCCCAGATTTTGTCCCGTTTTGTCGCTTCTTGCTACACGCCGAGACTCCGCGGTGAGACTGTCCTAACCATTTAGTATGCCGATAGTAGCAATCCGATAAAACATTTGCAGCACACATTAGACTGAGCCATGAGCTGAAAACAATTGCACGATAATACGTGCAAACAAACGAAAACTACAAGCAAATGCTCACCTAGCTTTGTCTAACGTAGCTGGGATCTCTATCGAAATCCCAGAATTTGTCTCGTTTTGTCGCTTCTTGCTACACGCCGAGACTCCGCGGTGAGACTGTCCTAACCATTTAGTATGCCGATAGTAGCAATCCGATAAAACATTTGCAGCACACATTAGACTGAGCCATGAGCTGAAAACAATTGCACGATAATACGTGCAAACAAACGAAAACTACAAGCAAATGCTTACCTAGCTTTGTCTAACGTAGCTGGGATCTCTATCGAAATCCCAGAATTTGTCTCGTTTTGTCGCCTCCTACGACACGCCGAGACTCAGCGGTGAGACTATTCGTACCCCGGTCTCACACGGGAAAAACATGTGAATATCTAAAAACAGAAAATAAATATTCGATACTATCGTATTATTATGCTACATTTTAGTTGTTGCGATGGTAGGAATTTTAATATCTAAATCAATGAGCTATATAAATTTTTAATTTTGTTTATTGTTTTGTTTTGAATGTTGATTCTAATAGCATATTGGGTCAAGAAGACAATTTTTTAATAAGAGATGTTCCTATATAATTACACTGTTAACTTACAGAACTACCCCATTCCCTTGTGGATTTAAAAACGAATTTACCCAAAAATTCTTTAATAACCTTAATAATAAAACAATTAATAATTACAATTATTAATATAAATTCACGTTTTTTTCCTTTTTCTTATTTGTAATTGGCAGATATACGATTCTATATAGATATGTTTTGTATAAACATGTTTCTTGTTCTGAAGGTTTTCAATTAAAATTTCTTACGTCGCTGTTATTCGTATTTCGAAAACCTAAAAAAAGAAAACAGTAGGCAGATGTATTAGATAGATGCACACAATTTTGTGTGTGTCATCGTGAAGGTGTTGTCATCACAATAGCCGAAATGTGTCGGATTTTCTCACATAATTTCGGTCTACCGAGGATGAATGATACGTAACTTCTTCTTGTTTTACGCATTCACCTCTTGGGAGGCCGTGACTGTCCAACTGTGTCCACAGACAGTCTTCAGAGGCGCAACAAAAGAACGACAAGAAATATGCATCAATAACGAATCTCTGCTGTCTTGTCATTTGTTTCAACAAGAAACAACAGAAAAAACAAAATCTACATATACTGAACCTATTATCTTACTTATATTTTCGGAAAATTTAAAACGATTACCGTCAATTGTTTGATTTTAATGCGACAGGTGAATCTCAATCATAATAAACAAACATGCAATTTCGTTTTATTACAGATAGGTAGGTACATATACGTAAATGCAGTTGATAGTTTTTGTTTTTTAGTTTATTGAAATAAATGAATGTGAGAATTTATTTGTTTTATAGCGGCGCCACTGGCGATTTTTCGTCATTTTCCCCGTTTTCTGTTACGTCGATGGCACGTTGGCGTTCACACGCTCGGTCTGCCAATCAAGAGTTAAAATTGACAAGCGTATCGTGACGATATGTTGTTGGTGCGAAGGCGAAAAAAAAAACAAACAGAAAAAAGCGTCAGCGTAAAACATGCCCGAATTTCGAACCGATAGAGACCCCACATTCGGTCCTAAATAGATTTTTCCGAAAAAGTGCTCGACACGCTCTGTGAATCGCAGGCCTTGTTAAGATTTTGTTTTGAAATACACGGCAATAGTTAAGATTTTGTTTTCAGACACAGTCAGTTGTTGTGGTTTTGCTTTAAAACGTAGGCAGCCACACGATCCAAAACATAATCAATCGTTCAGATTTTGTTTAAAAAAAAAGAGACATTCGTTATGATTTTGTTTTAAAACAACGAATCATTAAGATTTTGTTTTAAAACGTAGCTAAACCGTTTACGATTTTGTTTTAAAACGCAACTGCCTACGATTTACACTACCACGAATACGATGTAGGAAAGGTAATTTTACTTTTTCTCAGGGTGTTTTTCCCAATACGTTCCTGCAATAATTTCGCCGCATCAGGTCCTGTCAGTCGCAGGTCCTTGCCTGTTCGTGAAACTTTGTACGACGGCTACGACGACGCCGACGACAGTGGCGCTGACGCGTTTCCTTTCGCTACCCTTCGCCTCTACGTCCATCTAGTCGTCTGGCCCACGTCATCTATGTTCACATGCATGTCTACGTTTAGCACGTGCGTGTTTGGGGGCGCACGCGGCCCACTAGATTAGGACGTTAGTTACGCATTTCTATCCCAAAATTATTAAATCGGGTGCGGCGATATCCGCCACCGAAAAGTTTTCCTTTTTTTCTTCTTCTACCCCCAATAGATACCCAGACATACATAGTTAAGAAAACTACCCTTAGAAAAACGTTTCAATTTTTGTTTCCCTTATATTTTTAAGCCGTCGATGGCCGGAGCCTCCAGAGAGAGTTCGAGTTACAAATCGTAACATAACCCAATTTATTCCGGCATGAATGAAGCACTTAATTTGCAGTTAAAAAGGGCCCCAGTGTGTGTCAAAAATTAACCTCAATGCGTGTAATGTATGTAGGCACGTGATGGAGGGAGAATCGGGGACCAAATTGTGCTGTCGCCGTTGCTGCTGCTGCAGCCTGTGATGTTGCAACCCCCTCCCTGTTACACGCGCACACCCCGTTGACGTGTGCTAGAGATTAGGAAAACAAAAGACGTATCTCGATCAGTGCAAAACACACACACACACACACTAATGTATATATGCATGCAAGACGCAAAGGGTGTTCAATTTTTTCAGAGACGTGTATTCTTTCAAACAAAGGCGATTTTCAACTTTTTAGATATAAAACAAATGAATCAATATCCAATTCCACGAGAACGAAATGAGAAAGCAAGTCTAACTAAGAACAAGACTGTCCCAGTCTAGTCTTAGTCTTGATCTTACATTTTTGGACTAGTCAAAAACCAAGACAATAATAGTCATGTGGTGTTATTCTTCTTCATTAGTAATATGTACGTAAACGCCCTGTACACATGTAGTGAGTACATAATATACAGAGTGCTGTCTTCACCCTTACGTATCTATCTATCTAATAAGGGGGTGGTGTAATTATTGTTAACATAATTGGTCGCTCTGCAATAATTTTTTTTCTCCGCCTGGGCCAGCCAGTCACTTTTATGATAAATTATCACGGGGTTCAATTTGCCCTGTGTGCGTCGTGGGGCTTTTAATAAGGGCATGCGGTCATGTCACAACCACTCATCGCAGTAAGTACCGTTTTTGGCCGCTAGTAGATTTATAATCCCTCGATGACTACACCGATTTTCCTTTACATCGCATCATTACCTTGTGCGATACCAGGGAAGGAACTAACAATGAGCTTGTTATCCTTTTTTTTAACCTTTTTTGTTATTCTTCGTTACAGGGGTATATATTAGTTATTAGATAATTGCGTTTGTATTTTTGTTGTTTAGTTATTTAGAGGACTTTTGTATAGTTATAGCATTTTACCTTCTCCATTGTTGAGTTTCTTCAAATGTTTCATAACGACTTTCTTCTATTGATAGGTTGCTTCAAACATTTTATATTTTGTTTCGATTTTGTCAACTGTTTTATAATTGCTTGTTATTTTTTACAGATAGTCATTATTTTGTTCAAAGTTGGCATTTGTTTGGTGTTTTGTTTATTTCTTTGTTATTTTTTGTTTTAGTTTCTTACTCTGTACCATTGTAAGGTAATGTATAATATTAGGAACGATATCCTCGAAATTGTTTTGCCTTAGTTTGCTTCGCAACCAGAAAGTTGCTAATACATTTCGTAAAACTCATTTGCCAAATAAGCAAAAAGTTACGCTTTCACGAAATTATAATCCATTGTACCTATTGTACTTATACGGCGTCTACCAGAATTCTAGTACTGCTAGAAGTATAATCCTCGGAGTCTTTTCTTCTTTTTTTTTATTTTCGAAAAGAAATTGCGTACGTACGGTTTACCTCTTTTTAATAATGCAGGTTAATTATCGCGTAAAATTTTCGATTTGCCCAGTTCAAGAACGAACGGTTTCTCCTATTGTTATCAAAAGAAGAAATTTCTTCGAAAATATGAGAATAATCCAACAGTTTCAGTTTTTCAGTTGCAACGAACATTTTCATGCCATGAATTCAAAATTGATACCAAGATGACAAATTTATTTTTGCAGAACCCCTTGCCAAAAAAAGAACCCTTAAATGCTTAGTAACTCTGTCTACCAACGGCATAATGTTACTGTAAAAATTCTTGAAGTTGACGTTGTGTAGAGATGCGGTATGGGATTAGGGTAAAGTTCGATGTTGTTCTTCGTAATCCTGACATGATCCTTAGGTAGTCTCCCGATCCGACTGTCAAACGTCCGTTTCGACTACGGTGTTTATATGGGTTCGGCCAAGTGGTAAAATTTGTTTGACACCTAGCACAATACCGCCGGTAGGATTAGCTCCAGGACCACACCGTGCGATTTTCTGCAGAATCGGCGGAAATCTCCTTACGTAGGTATCTAGGTATTTTATTCTATTCAATAAATCGATAGATTTCTACTTTTACCAGTCGTAATCGATAAGTTTTTGAACGAGAACAAAACGTAGAAAGATGAAATACAACCTCAAAAAAAACAATTTTCTAAAAACATTAAACCTACCGAAAAGCTTTTCTCAAAACTGAACCGAAATCAGAATACGTTTTAAATGATTGTTTTAATACATATCGTCTCTTGCTGGGCAGCGTCAGATGTTTTATAATTTCAATTTTCCATTGTTGGGGTTCTGGGAGTGCTTTATCATTTGTTTTTCCAATTGCAAGATATTTTCAAATGTTTATTTCAATATGTTGGATTTTGTCAGCTGTTTTCTTTTCTCTGTTGTTTCTTCGAGTGTTTTTGTCGTATTGTTTAGATTTCAAATGTTATGGTCTTACGTTTCGTCAGAGTAGCTGATCATTAATTCTGCCAAGAATTTATTTATTCGTTTAATTTAAAATAAATTATTGTTGTTGAGACGTGGATTTTTCGATTTCTCCTTCTCGAAAAACAAAAAAAGAAGTGGCAGTCAATAAACCAACAATTTGCAGTGAGTTCACGTGTAATCTGAGTACCATGAGGTGTTGTTTGTTGTATGTTCGAGATGAAGAAGTCTTTTGCTATTGGTCGGTTATATGTCTCCTCCTATACTAACGTGTCGGCCTACAGGCTCCTGACTTGTAAGAAGAATGGCTAAGAAGTCTTGCTTTAGTTACTGTTGCCAGAGACAAACAAAATTTCTTCTTTTTTTTTTTGTTTCTTTCGTTTTTTACGAAAAATAAACAGATGAAGTTTTTCAGAAACAAAAGAAAACATCAACAAAAGCATTGCACGGGCNATTTATTTTCGTACAGTACTGATCTGTCAGTACCGCTTCCATTTGAT